CTCAAGCAGCTGTCTCTGCAGAGTAAGCTGAACCCCAGGAAGCAGAGCTTGTGCTTGATTGAGTTGGTGCATTAACTGTGTGATTCTCCCAAGGGGAGAATGGATGTGTGTGTGACTGATTGTATGTGCAGGGCCTCACATTTTGACATTGGACTGTAGCTGGAAAGCTGTGGCTTATGCATAAGCTACAGTTGGGTGAAAATTATGTCAGCTGACATCCTGACCAGTCTGGAGTGTACCTAATGACTGCTTCTTGAGCTGGGGAAGCATCAAGTGACAGGTACATTTCTTCTTTCCCTTCTGTGAGGAAAAGATAGAGCAGCTTAAATCTGATGTATATGTGGTTTGGCTGGACTGTGTAGTGAAAGCAGTTAATGTTGGTGTATTTGAGGTAGACTCCCTCCTTTTCTTTGGAAGGTTTTGTATTGAGGAATGATCCTGTTAAAGCTGAGACTGTGACCATTGGTGGGCACATGAGTGAGGCATCTAAAGATGTTGTTCCTGATTAAAGTGGGTTTCAGCAAGGATTCACCAAGGGGCAGTTATGTTTAACCAACCTGATAGCCTTATATGATGGGATAACTGGATGGATGGATGAGGGGAGAGCAGTGAATGTTGTCTCTCTTGCTTCAGCAAGGCTTTCGACATTGTCTCCTATAACATCCTCAGCTCAGGAAGTGTGGGTTAGATGAGTGGACAGTGAAGTGGATCGAAAACTTACTGGATGGCAGAGCCCAAAGGGTGGTGATCAATGAGGCCAAGTGTAGTTAGAGGCCTGTGGCCAGTGGTGTCCCGCAAGGGTCAGTACTGGGTCCAGTGCTGTTCAACTGGTTTATGAATGACTTGGATGAGGGACTGAGCACACCCTGGGCAAGTTTGCAGATGATAGCAAACTAGGTGGAATGACTGAGAGCCCAAAGAACTGTTCTGCCCTTCAGAGGGACCTGGACAGGTTGGAGAGCTGGACAGAGAGGAACCTCATGAGATTCAACAATGACGAGTCGAAGATCCTGCACCTGGGGAGGAATAACCCCAGGCACCAGTACAGATTAGGGGTTGACCTGCTGGAAAGCTTGTCTGTGGAGAGGAATTTGAGAGCTGTGGTAGCCCTCTGGTAGCACCATGAGGCAGCAATGTGCCC